TAGGAGGTAGACATTTCTTCGTTCTCACCTCTTTTCAGGAACAGAGATTCAAAACTTTCAGAAGCTTACGAAGATAAATTATTCCTTTTCATTTCTAAAATGTTCCAAGTCCACCCACACCTTCCATCATGTTATAAAGACCRGGGCATGTAAGAGAAGAAAGTGTCAGCGTGACCATTTTAAAATATCTTGAAGATTTTATAACTAACATATGAGGTCACATATAAATTAGTGAATCCAGAACTTAGCTAGATCCCCTTAAACAGCTGACATAAGTTTTCTTTCCTAGTTCAGGACAGAAGAACAGATTAAAGATAATAGGGAGAACATGAAAAGGAAAGGGTCAAAATAAGAAGTTAAGCCATCAATAAAGAAAACAGTTACAAGTTCAGCAATTTCTCCTATTTTAAGTTCACTTTTATGGTTATTTCACTGAACAATTTAATAGTTTTGAAATATCTAACAGAGGGGAAATTAAAAAATATTAACTACGCAAACATTCACCTCCATTGTTCAATTTGCCTTCAGCAGCATCTCCCCAGCTATGCACCCACTTATGGCCTAGCATTGCAGTGGTCCAAGTTCATCAATTAATCCAGAGGAAAACAGGACATTACTGGAAAAACAGTTGGATTTAAGTACGCAATAAAAAAAATAATCTTTGCATACAAGGAATACCCTGATAATAACTGAAAGAAGGCTCAAATGTCAGGAAAAGCAAAAAAAAAATGAGCTTCATTCTCAAGTTTGTATCAGTTATCTATCTGCAAAGCTCCAAAACCCATTATTCAAAATGCTTGCTCAAATTTCCAATTAGAATCTTTTTTAATTAAAATAATAGTCTTTTAAGAAAAACTGCAAATACTGCCTTGAATTTGGTGGGGAAAAAACCACCTGCCCTTGCTGCAACATTGGGAGGCAGAGGCAGGACAGGAAGGAGGAAGAGGAGGAGTCTCCCTGCATCCTGAACACATTCTTACCTCCAAGATGAAAGAGTGGGATAGCAACAACCACCTCCCAAAATGCTGGCATATTACAATATATCATTAAAAAAATAAGGGCAGGATGCAAGGGAACATTGTGAACTGCAAAACCAACAGTTCATGCAGAGTGTGGGAATAATTAACGCCACTAGATAAGGCTGAAACACTGCACATGAATCTGACTAAGCACATTCAAGAAATAAGGGAATGAGACTTGAAGAGCGACCATGGCAACAGGAGAGCTGGTTTGTTTGGTCTAGTAAACAAAGGTGGAGAAAGGACTGCTGCCTATAAATAGTTCAGGACAGCCAACATCAGAGAAGAGTGCTATTTCAGATAAAAGGCAGTTYGGGAACAGAAAAGAATGGATGAGGACTCACTGAATAAATTTAGACTAAAAAAATGAGAACCAGTTTTGTAATTATGAGACACGTGCTGTGCCCCTGAATGTTACTGGAGGAGAAAGTTGAGGGGCAAGGGATGCAGACACACACACACGCTCTCTATTTGAAAAGGGAGTGTGGTCAGCAAGTACCACAGGTTATAGCAGCAGGAGATGGCACTTGGTGACCCTGGAGGTGGGGAGGGGTTTTTTTTTTTGGCAGGAGGTGGGGGAAGAAGAGCAGGTTGTTTGGGGYTGGTTTCCTTTTTGTTATTACTGACTGCTGTGCTATCAGCTGCCCACTGCAACACCTTTCTTCCAGATCAAGGAAGACTCATCCTCACCTGCCCACAGGACTGCTGGAACAATCAGGGCCTCCAGTTTCCCCTCCAAAAGCCAAGCAAGTACTTCCAGCAAACTAAAAATCTCAACACGCAGCTTTTATCACTGTGCCAGTTCCACAGGCAGGCTGGAAAAAGCACCACTGTGCTACAGGACCAGATACAGTACTGTTGTGTAACAGAAATGAGGAAAGGGGCTGCAGAAGTTAAATGACAGATCCCAAAGATGCTCTGGCCGGGGCTGCTTCCCGCAGCACAGGCAGGATGGTGCCGAGCGGCACCGTGATACTGACCCACAGGTTGCAAACGCCACTGCAGACTGCAAAGAAATGCTGCTCTTTTGGCTTTTGGTTGCATTTTCAGAGTTATTGAGAAGAGCATCACGATCCTAACAGGTACTGAACAATGCCAGTAGTAATTATTAGTCTTGCCTCCATTAAACTTTYCTCCTCTACATTATGCAACCTAGTCGTCTGTTACTGAAATGGAAGCTATGCCACCAAGTAGATGCAGTGGCCTTTCCTTCCATAACCTGAGAACTCTTTGCCATCAAGGAGACCAGTGTATGAATCTCTCCTGCCCTAACATGCCATAAACCTCACGTCAGGGCAGAAAGAAATACAAAACCCATCAGAAGAACATGAAAGGGGCATGCACTAAGTTGCTATCCACGATCTCATGCCAGACTATTAAACGGAAGGAGTGCGTAAACTGAAGCATTACAGTGTTCCTAACAGATGGTTCAGAGACATTTTGTTGGGAGAATCAACRTAGCTTTTTCAAATGGGGACCAGTACATGCCACTTTTTACCATATGGGCCTTAAATAGGAATTTAAAATTTATACCACTTCATCTCATTCAGACAGATGGCAAGGGGAAATAAAACCTAGTCTGAGAAGCATCTTATAGTGATTAATACTAATGTTCTAATGGCTTCATTTATTTTTTCATTTTATTTTACACTTTTATMTTTGAATCCAGTTCTTCTTGGAGGAACTTACATTAGGCTTAGATTGTCTAAATGTGCTCCTATTGAGGAAAGAAAATATTTTGCAAATATTTGAGCAAACCGAAACCAAAAATCCTACAAATATTCAAAGAGTTGTATTTGATTTTCAGTATTTTTTTACATAGCTGCAATTTTTTTCCAAAAGCTCACATAATAACCTCCAGGGAACTTTTATTACAAGGCCACCTTTCATGTAACAAATATCAAAAAGAAGCAAAGGAACCATCACTTGGCCTTGCCAGAATAAGCATACAGGTRCTACTTCTGCCTCCTTCCTTACAGGTGAACCTAAAATACCAACTTATTTATTAGAAATGCTTATCCCAGCTGATTTCACCTCTGGTTTTGAAACAACAAAATTATTTTTGTCTCAAGTTACCTCATATTCAAACTGTTTGATGCAGCATTTTAAACCTYCAGTGTGTTGCACAGCAAGAGTTTCTAAATAATAAAAGGTTCTAGACATGCTTAATGTATGTCCATTAAAGCATCTGAATACACTCTGTGGACTTGCATGATACCCACATGGTAAASAGAGGCTGGGAAGACCACTAGGTAGTGGACCATGGACTGTGTGGCCAGGGTTGCTCCAAGTGTTCTTGTACCTTCTGTTTGCTGCACAGAGCCATCAGAGCAAAAACCACCACCAAGAGGCTTCCTGGATCACAGGATCTTGGCACAGAGCTGAAGTTGMAGCTTTAGAGTCTGTTTCTTAAGACCTGCTCTTGTTTTGACTCAAGTCAAAAAGCTTCTTTGAGTTAAGCTGTAGATGAAGATCAAAGTTCCTGTACTCCTTGGCGGGTGGAGAGGGGCAGCCTCTCACCAGCTGCCAGCAGCTGAGGTCAAGTAAACTCATACCCAGCAAGAGGAGGACACACGCAGCAGCATTTATCTGCAGCCAGCAGTTTATCACCTGTGAAAAATCGGCTTTTCAACTGTGTGAACTTCTGTACAACCAGGGTACAGCCTAGAAAAGTTCTGAAAGAGAATTCTATTTCAAGAACAAAAAAAGAGAAATTATATCTCCTTTGACATGAGCTCATTTTACCCTAGCCCTACCAAGCCACACAAATGTTAGAACTACCATTCTGYAGGGAGATAGAGAGCCACTTTCTAATCAACAGATTCAACTGCATTCATGCTCGTTTGATCCCACTGGATATCAGAGGAAGCCAAGAAAACCACTGCCCACGTAAGGGGCTGCGGGGTTACCTGGGTCCAGTGACACTCATTCAGTTTCACTGTGTCCTTCTTTATCATCACTTATCACTGCACCCCTGCACACGATGAATTTGATGCTCCTCTCTTGCTCTCCAGAGAATACTGACTATTCCAGGGCAGGGCATTCCCCAAGAAGCAGAATTTTCCATCATCTCCACTGCAAAAGTTCCAGGGCAGAAAAACAAAATCCCATGCAAGGAGCAAGTACAACCTGTGGGCTGCAAGTCCTCTCTCACTGTCAAAATAACAGAGCATGAGACTGCACCTTTTTAAACCCTCCTCTTTACTCCCAATGGCTAAATCCTGRGATAACAACAAGATAGGGAGAGCTGCTCACACCTTTTACCAGGTATCCACCATAAAACAGGGCCATGAAGGGGTTAAAGGAAAGGGGTCAATTACTATTATTACTATAAACACTGTCAGGAGGAAAAGCTATAGGTTACAGCCTAATTTTTGTTTAGGTTGTAATGATATGCATACGGTAGAACTACAATAGAAAACACTCATTTGTTTGCTTACAAATATACTGATCAGGCTTCAGCACCTCTCAGCAGATGTGCTCCGGAGACCAGAAATTACAGTTTACAGGACAATAATATTGTTTCCCAGCTGGTTAAAGTCGTAGCTGGGGTTGTGCCAGCGTTAATTATGCAGCATAGTAAGAAATAAGGCATCAGCAAACATTTTTCCTCTGGCTACCAGAAATAAACTACGGGGGACAGCTCCTGCTCTGCTCTCCCCACAGCAGCACACRGGAACCTAACCCACATAGACACCTGCTCCAGCAACAGCAACTGGGGAACACAATGTTTTACAGGAGGAGGAAAAAAAAAAAAAAAACACACCACTATTTTTTTGGAGCAGCAGCTCTCAAAGACACCAAGGCAAAAGCCCTGGGGAAGGCCATGCCCCAAGGGGAGCTGTGCATGGCACGATGGAGCAGCCAGCCTGGGAAGGGCTGCCTGGGTCACTGCCGAGGCACAGCTCGACCCTCTGCAGTGCAACCACCACTGTATCCCCTTCTGAGTAGGGAAGGCAGGAAGGACAGCACTGCTCCTACCTGAATTCCGGGAAAAGGTTCGGCCGGAGTCCATAGAAAGCTGCCGAGAGGGTCACCAGCCAGCCGGGTTTGTAATTCCCATTCTCGCACTCGAGGAACGGCGACGACCACCTGATGTGGTTCTTGTCAGCGCTGAAGCTCTCGCGCCTCTTCCAGCTGCTCTCCAAAGTTTTGGGGCCCGGCGTGAGGACCTTCCTGTGCAGGTGGGGCCTCCACTTGCGCTTCAGGCCGTGGAACCACTCGGTCTCCACGGAGGCGTTGGCCAGGCGGTGCGCCGAGGAGGACAGGTCCTGCAGCAGGATCTGGCTCTCGTGCCTGCTGGCCTGCAGGAAGATCTGCGGAGCTGCGGCCAAGGGCTCCGTGCTGAAAGTGATCGCCGCCCTGGAGATGTTGGGGTCGCCCTCCAGGAGGCTCCGGATCAAGGCTTGGTACCACTCCAGGTCCTCCTGGAAGTTCTGCTCCCGCGACTTATTGCTCTGCAGGATCATGTTGAGGAAGTTGGTGGCGTGCGTGAGGGTGTCGAGGGCGCCGTGCAGCGAGGGGTGCGCGGCGAAGCGCGACTTGCCCGCCACGCCGGCCAGCTCGTAGCGGCCCGAGCAGTTGGCGCGACGCAGCTCCCGCGAGTCGCCCGTGTAGAGGAAGGAGGCCACGTCGCGGGGCACCTCCTGGGCCAGCCGCTGCGCCAAGATGGAGCCCTCCGCGGCGCGGCCCTTGAGGGGGCCCGGCGGCGGCGGCCGCCCGCCCGGCGCGCGCTCCCGGCCGTGCCCCGCGTGCCCTTGGCTGCCGGCGGCGAGGAGCAGCAGC